TTTGCAAAAGAACCAGTGCTGAAGCATCCTGACCCCAAACAACCCTTCGTCATCCAAGCAGACACCAGTGACATGGTAGTGGGAGCAGTATTACTCCAAAGAAACAGTCAAGGAAGACTTCAGGCTACAGCAACAAATTCCAGATGATACCACATTCTACAGGTGACTCAGCTGACTCACCTATTTTTTTCTTTTTTAGATTTGTAAAAGGGTATACTGCCCTTTAGACAGACACTCAAGCCCTGGTCACCTCATGATTGGATAACTGTAACATGCACTACATGGGGCTGCATTGAATATCATCCAGAAGCTACAGCTGGTTCAGAATTTGGCAGTGTGGATGGCAATGGGAATATTGCATTGTGCTCATGTGAGTCCAGTTCTCCATGAGCTGCACTGATTATCAGTTGGCTTCTGGGTAATTATCATGGCAGAACTCCTGTCTTTCTGAGGGATCACTTATTTCTGATTAATTCGGGCTATCCAGTGAGATAGCAAATGTGCTCCAGGTTCCATTGATTAAACAGTGTCATCTTACAGAACTCAGGAGGAATGTTTTCTCTGTTGTGACACCTGCAAACTCCACCTCCCCCAGAGAGCCATACATTTCTCACCCTTTTGAAAAATCATTAAAAACTTGGCTGTTTGCCCAGACCTTTGGAAACTATAATTGTGGAGTTTCTACAAGTTGGATTTTTTTTCTCTCTTCTGTTATAAAATTAGTCTTTTGGTCAACTACACATTTTTTCCTATATGTAAAGTTGCTAAAGTGCCTGGCTTCGAGCTGAATTGATAAAATTGTTATTTAACTAACTTTATTTTTCTCTCGTAATAGCAACTCAGTGAAGTAGCTTGGTCTGAGAGAGAATAACTGATCCCAGTCATCCAAGGAGAGTCTAATGGCTTCTGGTGGACCTCTATGGCTGATGGTTTTTATTATCCTAATTTAATATACTAAATTGACTTTGGGAACCCCTGAGAGCAATTGCTTAGGTAATCCACTAAGATATATCCATAACTGGGTAGTTTTTTTTTTTAAGTGTAACAAATGAATATTGTATGCAGATGCCACAGTATGACATCTAGGCTGAGATCAGTGTATAGCATTGACTGGCATAGTTATTTTCAGCTTAGATTCAGGATGACACAACCATAAATCAGCATGTACTATATTCCTACAAGTGGATAACTTAGGAGTGACACTCCATAAGAATATCCATGAGCCAACAAAAACTAAGTTTTATTTGATATATGTTCATTTGCACATTTGATTAATTTTTTTACATGTGTAATTGTTATTATTTTGCAAACTGTGCCTCTACCAGAACACAGTTTGTAAAATAATAGAATGGACAGAATGGATAGTTTAGTTTCAGTAGCTACCAGCTACTGGTCTCCAGCTTTGGTTCTTAAGAGAGTTTGGATTATGAGAATGAATCTATAAAGAGGAATCATCCGGTGATGGTCCATTTCCAAAATTTATATTTGCATCTATCCTATACATGTGCCATATTGCTCACCAAATGTATTCCTCCTTCCCGTAACTTTCATTTGTACTATTCATTTCTACCTGGCAGCCAGCTAATTGTGTTGGAACTAAAGCTTGATAATAATCTGAGGACACTGGAGAGTCCAAAACATTTGGAACAACTTCCCAAAGAAGTGTGGGACATGCTTAGGCACTACTGGAAGGAAAAGTCTACCTTGCATTGATGAGGGTGTGAAATAGTCTGGAGATCTGAACTAATTATTACATTCTGAAGGACTTCAGGAAAATCAATTCTTGATAAAAGGGACCTCTATGCCAGGGGTGTCCAACCTTGGCAACTTTAAGATTTGTGGACTTCAACTCCCAGAATTCCTCAGCCAGCAAAGCTGAAGTCCACAAGTCTTAAAGTTGCCAAGGTTGGACACCCCTGCTCTATGCTTTAGAGAAAACTGCTTGGAGCCCCATGTCCTACAGCTCACCTGCACGACTTAGGTGAGCAGCAAGACAATATACAGTATTTTGAGCAGGCTTCCAAAAAGTTCTGAAACAAATCCCTTAATAAAAAAAATATATTCTTAACACCCATCAGGACTTAATGTTAATACAGCTCATTTTCACACCCGATCTTTCATGTGTAAACGTTTTTGATACTTGTATGTAACAAAGCCCATTTTTGTGAACTTCTTTCCGCAGTATTTATTGTGTTCAGAATCCCGAGCTCTTTGCCTCTCTTTATGTCCCCCCCCCCCCCCCCACTTTCTATCTGCTGCTTCTCTGGGGAGCAGCCTTGGGCTTTGGCTTGTTTCCAACAGCAATGATAATTAATTCCACAGTGGGCTTCTGTACCGCCCCCACCACTTGTACATGCTGCTTTGCACCTTGCATTTACCCTCCCATGGTGCATCTGAATTAATAAGCTGCTTCTCAAAAGACAGTAGAGAGAGCTTCTCTTTTTCACTATATATATATCTCTCTCTCCTTTCCAATTATGGCTGGCAATTGCAAGAGGAGCGTTGGCACCTGGTTCCTTCCGGAAGCTCTGGAACTGTTTTCAGACAATGAGGAAAAAGATGTTATTTTCTGGGCCTGGAAACTGCATGTGCACTGCTGTATTAGTGATGTTTTGCACTCTTAATATCATCTTCTCAGCAAGGATTTGATGAGATTTGACTTAGCCCAGTACAAGAAGTTGGGATCTTCCTCAAGGATGCTGAGTGGAGAACAGCAGAGCAGCAAATGATAATGTGTCAATAACAAAATCATTATACAAATGCTGTAAACTGAGTAGTTGCATAAAACATCAGGATGTAATTTTGGCATTGCTATGGTTTGTCTTGGATGTCACTGAGCCCATTTTGCTTCTCCTAAAAATACTAGTGGCTTTGACCCAACATATTGGTACTATGAATCATAATGACAAATCTGAGCTGGCAACAGATTGCTCCCTATATGTGGTCAACCCCAGAAGACACGGTCGAATGTGGAATATGTGGTCTAAAATCTCTGCAGGCCTTGCTGTGTCCTGTTTTCCTAAGGGATTCTGAGTTCAAATTCTTAAACTTTACAGAGGATGGTACAATAGGAAAAATTCCATCCAGTGAAGATGATCTTTAACCACTGCAGCACGTTGATAGGATGCATGGTAGCAATAGATAACAAATGCAGAATGCTATGTGTTCAGAATGTTCTATTATATTTATTTGTTAAGCAGAGTCTTGACTGTCCTTCAAATCTAACAGCTCCCAATTTGCAAAACAAATTAAAAAGGATCCACAGTAAAACCAATCAAATCTAAAAATAAATCCCAAACTCCAGCAAGCAGTGAAACCAAAGAGAAGCATCAGGAGTGCAATCAAAACAAAACATCAGAATAAGCAAAACAAACAGCAAAAGTAAATTGCTTAAGGCTACTCTAGATAGAACTTCAGGCTTGCTTCAGAATAATGCCTGTATTTTAAAGATGTGGTCTGCAATCCAGATTACCTGTAGCAGGAGAACTGACTTTTCTTTACATTTTTCCCCCCAGAAAATGGCTCCATCATACTTCTGCCTCATATTTAAAAATACTACAAATAGTTCTCAATTTACAGCCATTTGTATAGCAATGCTTCAAAGTTACAATGGCACTGAAAAACATGACTTACACTTATGACCATCGCATAACAATGGTAACAATGTTCAAAATTCAAGTGCTTGGTAACTGGCATGTATTTATGGTGACTGCAGCAGTCCAGAGACATATAATCACCATTTCTGATCTTCCCAGCCAACTTCCATGAAGGAAAAGTCAACGGGGGAAGCCAGAGTCATTTAATGACTGTACAATTCGCTTAACAATTGCTTAACAACAGTGGAAAAAAATGGTTGTAAAATTGGGTGCAACTCACTTAACAACTACCTTGGGTTAGCAATGGAAATTCTAATTCCAATTCTGGTCCTAAGACAAGGACTACCTTTATGTTAAGGAACCATATATTCTATAAACCACCGTTCAACATATTTGGATGTCACTGCAAAGAGCAATTTGTTGTAATTTACACAGCCATCGTTTTCATGCTTCTGTTCCTTTTCTTTGGGAGATCATAAGTCTAGGCTTCCTGTTAATGTTCTGGCCACAGAAGGAGGCAGTATACAGTTTAAAATGTGCCAAAAATTGAAACTGGAATTAGCTGTGAATCCATTTGACCTATAGACTCAGAACTAAAAATAATTTTAAAACTGAAGTGCTATACTGTATTAAAAAAAAAAATCATATTTCTCTACAAAATGAAGAAAAAGTAGCTAACAGAGCTAGTTCTAAAACAAGTTGATGCAGATGGTAAAGTCAGTAAAAGGCAGATGTCCTTGAGATGAATATTAATGCATTTGAGAAGGAATCTAAAAAGTTACAAAGTATGCCAATTACATATATAAGAAATACGATAAAAGATTCAAGATATAGATCTTGTCTGAGGTGAACCCAAATTCACTAGAGATAAAAATAGACTTTTGTATTTACTATTTTTAAACATGTTTGTATGACTAAACTGTTTTGGTGACTTTATTTTCAGTGTGTTTAGGTTTAGAACAAAATATTACACACGGTCTTCCACAAACTTGAGAAGAATTTATGACATATGGGATTGATATTTTGCTTTTCTCCGTGCATCAGTGACCTATGCTCATCTAGGAGAGCATCAGGTTGAGGAAAACTGACATAGACAGAATAACAGGGACCAGAAAGAAGCTAATATCTAGTTGCTGGTTTTGCCCAAAGTTAAATTAGTCTATCTCTGTGAAATGAAGACTGCCCTTTCATAGGATTTATCTAAAAATGTATGCTTTATACATTGCTTGGTATAAGAATGAGCCACTGCGGAGGAGGAGGAGGAGGAGGAGGAGGAGGAGGAGGAGGAGGAGGAGGAGGAGGAGGAGGAGAAGAAGAAGAAGAAGAAGAAGAAGAAGAAGAAGAAGAAGAAGAAGCTTGAAGTCCCACTAATGACATCACAATTGGCATTGACTAGTGACTCACATCAAAGGCTTCTCCAAGCGACTTCCTGGTGATCCAACAATCTCCCCCAGAGTACAGAATGTTTGACCAAGGAAATCCTGATGAAAGAAATAGACATGAATGTTATGAAACTTCTCCTCCTTACAGGGTTTCCCCCTCTTTTTAAAGCTCTTAGAGACTGAAGGCAAGACATTATTAAAAACTTAACTTCTGCTCTGGTTAATTTATAGAGGACAGTCCTTCAATCAACTCATGTAGCTTCTTTCTACAGTTTTTGCAACAAAAGTTTGGGACTAAGTGGCTAGGAATTTATGAATCTGGTCATAGTACATGCTTTAACATGTACTGAGTTATAAACATTGGTGAATTTTAAAAAATCAGGCTGGTGAAAAGACAGTAGCATCAGGATAATTGCATGGAACAAGAACATCATGTATCAGGCTCAGTGCCTAGTCAGTGTCTGTCCAGGTGTAACAGGTGCTTCAGCCTTTAGCATCCTTAATATTGTTCTGCAGATCCAGAATGAAGCAGAATTGAGATCATTTTGATTGTCATATTCTCATAAATTAAATCTGCCAGTAATGTTAGTAAAACAGAAGATTAAAAAAATAGGCTGCTATTTTTTTCTCCAGCATAACTTGACTATATCTGTTTCCTCAAAGCATGCCAATTTATTATAATTTACGTTGTCACCCCATAAGCCTACACCGTACAATGAATACCTACCAAAATTATTTAAACATGCTTTAAGCAGTTAGCAAAAATAAAAACTGAGATTCACTATATACTTTTTGCAGTTTTTCACTTATTTGAAATGTAAAACATTATAATAATTCAGAATAAAGCAATAGTATGAATCAAAGTGTGTGCAGAATGGGCAGAAATAAAATGCAGTTTTAGCAATATTTCACAACTTTATTCAATGGATTACCCTACACTGGCTGCATTCTGAATGACCCAGATTCAGTCCCCATACTATAAGCATAAAAGTCCCTGCAGTACATGTACTGTATATGGTATTTGTGATGCCCCACAATTAAATACAATATATTAAAATGAATCTATTAAAATAATTCTTAAAAATTCATCTTTTGGTTTGTTGTTCTTACATAAATTCTTAAAGATTTTGAAGCAAGAATGTTGAAATTTGAATTTTTCTCCCCATTTTTAATGGAAGATGGCCATGATGTTAGGATTCTTGAGGGAGATCTCTAGCAAAATCTTTTCACTATTTGTCCATTTTGCAATATTTCAGCCATTTTATATAATTTCATACTTAATTAATTGATTGATATTGGGGCATCTTCAAGCATATGTGATGCTTCCAGGACCTGAAACAATTGTAACTCTTTAGGAATCTAGCCTAGCACCTTTAGTTTAGCTGAGTCTGGAAGCAACCAATAGCAAACATCTCTGCCAGTATTCCTAGCTAACTGCATTAAATCACAATTGCTGTTATTATCCAATGCATAATAGATAAATAGATTAATCCAAAATTGGGAACCCTCACATGGTTAACTAAAACTGTAAAGAAGTTTAATTTAATAAGTATCATGCTCATACCCAATTCATAATCACATTTGGCTTCCATTCTTAATGGGAGTGGATTTTGAAACTTGGATAACTCAGTCCATTGCTTATTTAGAATTAAATGTGAACCAAGGGCTTGATTTATTTATTTCTGGAAAAACAGAATCAGAAGCTAAGAGAAAAACATAGTTTTAGACCTTAGCTTTTAAGAGAAGAACAAATCAGAGATTTTGATTTGCACACAATTCTAAACAAAACACAGAGTGATCTAGGCATATTTGAGCACTCAATTAAACGTACAGCAAGTAAAAGCCTGCATAGCATCTATCATATGGGTGATTAATCAAGGGTTTTTTTTTTTTTTTTACAATTCTGGTTCATTGCATTACATCAGGGGTCCCCAAACCTGGCAACTTTAAGATTTGTGGACTACAATTCCCAGAATTGTCCAGCCAGCTATGCTGGCTGGAGAATTCTGGCAGTTGAAGTCCACAAGTCTTAAAGTTGCCAAGTTTGGAGACCTCTGCATTAAATGAATATGAGGCAACAAAAATTATGTCAAAGAGTAAGAATCTCAAGAACATATAAACGAAGAAGAAAATGTGTACTTAGCTTACATGTTTGGTCAGGTCTGGACTCTTGGAATCTACATCATAACTGCAGGGAAGAAGAAGCAGAGATCACACACTGCATTTCAATCATGTAGAATCTTGGTATTTCTCTTTTGCAAAACCTACTCAACAGGGATAATGCACAATATCTATGAAGAAGGAAACAGAGTCAGGGTTGGACAGTAAGATTTTGATTCTTCTGCATGGGTTTCTGAGTTTAGCTTTTTGATGTTAAAGCAGAATCCTTTTTCTGTCCATTATTTTAAAATGGTGTTCTCCAATCGTGTGTACACCTCATTTCCCATATCCACAATCCAAAAGATAATATTGCTGGATTATTATGCCAGCTGAGGTCTAATGCATCTGGAAAAAGTAGATTAGGGGAAAATGGCAAATCAAATAAATGGAAACAAGAGTACAGCTGATGGAATATGACAAAGATTGTAATATAGGTAGTCCTGGATTTACCTCCACAATGGAAGCCAAACATTCTGTTACTAAGCAAGACAGTTGTGAGTTTTGCTCCACTTTACAACTTTTCTTGCCACAATTGTTAAGTGAATCACTGAAGTTATTAAGTTAGTAACATGGATGTTGAGTGAATTTGGTTTCCCCATTGATAAGTCACTAATTTCAGTGTTGTCGTAACTTTGAACACTCATTAAAAAAATGGTTGTAAGTTGAGGACTACCTGTATACATGTTAAGGAAGCTTCATTTTTCTAGTAGTATTTTATATTCAAATGCACTACTCCTAATCCTTCACCCTAAAGCTGAAACAAATATTTTTCAAATAAATGTATGTTTTTTTCTGAATGTCTTAACATCGAAAACTAAATTCATACTTGAATTTTGAAAAGTTAAACTGAAAAGTTGAATGCTGTAAGAACTGTTAATATCCCCTGATTTATACTGATAAAGATTCTCAGTCATCCAAGTAGAGTCATGGCAACTGAACTCTTTTTTCCTTGTAGGTTTGAAATGTTTAGCTTATCCAGGCAGCTTCTTCAATCTGAGCATGTTGGTTAGGAGGATCTCAAATATGTCCCCCAGGGAGGTTTCATTTCTCACCTAATTTGGATAGGGTCTTGGGATATAAATGCTCCAACTCCTAAATCCTTTATCCTAGGTGGGCCATTAAGTGTGAATTCTCTCATGAACCTGTGAAGTGGTCCTGTTCCTCTTGGGGACTGATGAAAGAGCAGGATAAAAAATGGAGAACATTTTTCTGAGGCCTCCACTCCTATCTCCTGATAGATGTTGAGAAATTTCTGAGCTACCATTCTATATTAACAACAAATTATCTAGACACTTAATACTTTTCATATAATTCCATTATCTTTTTAATTATCAAATGCTGTTTATTATAAATACCATTATATGTGACTCATTTAACAAATATATTATGCCTTCTAAATATTCCCTGGAGAACTCTGAGTCTGGGAAACTTTCAGAAGCTGAGCATTGGATGTGTTCTGGGACGAATCTTTCTTTATTTAGACTGAGTAATGTAGCCAGCATTGTTCTATATGAAGTAGCTAGAACTGGGAATTTCCCTGAAGACTCGGAGCTCTTATGGGGACTAAGGTAGAAAACAGAATATTGAGAAATGTACTTTATAGAAACATTTCTGCAAATAATGATGAATGTGGTTAAATTTTTCAATATTATTACACAATAAATATTAACTATCATCTAGTATCATTGACAAATGGACACTAAGATAAAATATTATTAGATGGTAAAATAAGGGATAGTTATTTGTTCATTCCAAGCATGCAAGGAGAACAATTTGCCATAAAATTCTTTCTATTCTCTTTCAGTCATAGCTCACATATATTTACTAAGACTCAAACAATACCAAGGCATTTTTGCACAAGTTAGGAAGGCATCATTTGTAACAGTCCAAATCTGAGAAGTTAGCTGCAAGGTATTTATTGTTTTTTCCCTTCCTATGTTGCTGAATACATGAATATAAAAATCCATTTTTTGTATAGTTTTCTCCTCTTCTATTTATAACTAAACTTTTGAAGCTACTGTAAGCTCAATACTACAGAATGTATAAATTACTTCCTTTGTTAAAAGTGGATGCTACAATATTGGCAATCTTTGGCCTATAGCAGGAGTGTCAAACTCATGTTGTCATGGCAGTGTCACATGACATATCAGGACTTTTCCCCCTTCACTAAACCAGGCATGGGCATGGCCAGCGCGTGACGCATCCAACCCCCGGCTATAAGGTATACAACCTTTGAGACCTCATCTGGAACAATCTGATTCCACTAAAGGATGCCAAGCAACAGACAATATTCAATAATTGGTGGATGTAATAGATATACAATTGGATATATTGGATTTGATGACATTTGTTTCATTGAATGCCAAGGAAGTTTTTGATACAATATAGTCCTTGACTTACAACCATTTAGTGACCAAAGTTACAACGGCACTAAAAAAAGTGACCTATAGTCATTTTTCCCATTTATGACCATTGCAGCATCCTCATGGTTACATGATCAAAATTTGGATGCTTGGAAACTGGTTCATATTTATGACAGTTACATTGTCATGCGATCACCTTTTGTGACCCTCTGACAAGTAAAGTCAATGGGGAAGCCAGATTCACTTAACAACCGTGGCAAGAAAGCAGCAAAACTCACTTCAACAACTATCTTGCTTAGCAACAGAAATGTTGGGCTTGGTTGTAGTAGTAAACTGAGACTACCTGTTTTTGGTTTTCCTTTCAAATTTTAAAAATTGGAATAAAGTTGGTTCTCTAGCCCATTGCAAGGATTATCACAAGTGGAATTATTTCTTCACCTACTAGAATACTATGAGGAATTCATCAAGAGTGTTTCCTTTAATACTTCTACTTTACTTTTATTTAATGTGATGTTGGCACTATTGACCTCTATCTAAACATCTAAGAATATTTCAGGTATCAAATGAGTGGAGATGGAACATTGTGAAAGAAAGATCTGCGTTGGGAATGAATAACAAACTCTTAGGGGAGAAGAAAAAAAATCACTTGAAACCAAGAAAGAGAAAAAGCGTGAGAAATAAACTCAAAAGAACTCCTAAACTACTGATATTATTAGAAATGTTCTCAAAATTGGTAAACCCATAGTTTATATATTTATAACTAAAATGATGTATTTAGATAAATATGGGCTTATTTGGAGACAGTTTAGACCAGGGGTCTCAAACTCAATTTACCTGGGGGCCGCTGGAGGCAGAGGCTGGGTGAGGCTGGGCCTCATAAGGGATTCCACAAAAAACGTTGTTAAAAAAATATCCTCAAATGTCCATTACATGAACTGTCCTGAACACATGAATGGAACATTGAATGAAGATCATGAACAGTTCCTTAGAACATGGCTTCTCCAGCTTACTCCTTGCTGCCAGAGACTTGACAACGCTTCCTCTCACATATCTGAGCCACATTTGGCTTAAGAGAGGAGGCACTTGAGACCCTCAGTATGGCTTGAAGATGATCATCAGTAAGTCTGGACCTGTACTTGGACTTGTTAAAGTTCAGGGTGGAGAAGAAGCCACAACGAGGAATGGCGGGCGGGACTTCCTTCAGAGGTCCATTCCCCCTGCGGGCCGCACTAATATTATACTTTCATATCACGGTGGGGGCCACAGGATATCGTCCTGCGGGCCACAATTGGCCCATGGGCCACGAGTTTGAGACCCCTGATTTAGACTAATGAGTTGGACTATTCTGTCTTAAGAAATCAATGAGCTAGTATTTTACTGATTGTTAAATCAGTATGCAATAATTGGATAATAAAACAGCAGAATATTTCCTATGGCTAGTAGAGGGTCCAAAGGATGTCTGGCAAGAGTTATGTTTCAACATCTGTGTGAGGCAAGGGGAGCACCTCAGAAGAAAGTTAAGACACCTATATCTGGTTCTATTTTACACTGACATTATATAAGTTTAATGTCAGCGTAAAATAAACCCACATGTAAGTGTCTTAACTTTCTTCTGACATGCAGCCTTTGCATAATGCAGATGTTGAAACATAACCCTATACTAATTATAATACAATATGGGTGGGGGGAGATAAATTTTTGAAAGTAATGTATTATATTCACAAATTTTGGAACTTACTGAAAAGTGAAAACTCTGCCTTTAATGTGCATAGAATTATTGATGCCCTTTGAGCTCAGCATAAAGAAACCCCCTTTAGATCTCATCTCACATCACTGTTTTTCCCTCAGTGCATCCCCTGTTAAGGCAAAGCACTTTCATATTCTTCACAGAATCTCACCAATTACAGGATACAGCCAAATGGAGAAGTCCTATAGGTGCACACTGGTTTTCCCTTCACACGCTCACTCTTTAGAAGACCAAGAAATATGTCACTCACAGATCAAAGCGCAAATTCTGCTTCTCTTCAAAAAAGTAATCGAGGATGAACTTCCGCACAAAGTCGGGGTTCAAGGTGTTGTCAATGACTTCTGTCCTGCCAAACTGAAAAGGGAAAGGGAACCAAATGAGTGCGACAAGTCTAGTAGCATTATGACCATTAGCAAGAAGACTTGAAAAGAAATAGTATTTTTATCACACTCCAAACTGATTCTGAGATGAAGGCTAGGCTGGATAGATTTAAATAAGATCTACCATTAAATATCTTTGTTTTATGCTCTTACAAACATCATCAATTGCCTCCTTCCAGGCTTAAGAGCAGGAAATAATTCTTTCATCTCTTAGTCTCCAGAGTGAGTAACTTTCAGATGTGCTGACTTCAACTTCTAGCATGCTCAGAAATAGCCACACTGGCTGGTGAGAGGCTTCTTTCAGAGATCTGATAACTTACAGACAGTTCAGAAATTGGGCTGAGTGCCACGGTTTGCCTATTTCTGCTTCAGGACAAAGATTTTAGTCTTGGCAGGTGAAAAGAAACAACATCAACAGAAGAGAAGAAAGAGGGTGCATGGAGGATTTGTTAAATTTCCCTCCCTCCTTATCAAAAATCATTTCCTTGAACAGCATGGTTCTTTTGCACTTTACATGCAATGGACAAGATTGAGTTATTAAAGCTGGATATACTAGCACTTTCTAGATATGCAGCACCGCAGATAATACACATGAAGGTAGAAACAGGTAAAATATGCACCAATTAGCTCAGGAAAGAAACGAAAGACAACAAAGCAAAACAAGAAAATATTTAATTGATTGAGTTTCAGCCAAATTATTGTTTTTATAATATTTCAATTATCAAAAATCTGTGCCACCTCCGGCATGTCAGAATTTCCAAACTCGGCAGTCAAAGTTGTTTGATTTGTTTCCAAAAAGCAAGAACTCTGCCAAGCCAGCAGGCACATTTGGAAGAAATGTTCCACATTTAGGTGAAAGCTAAAAGGAGATACCAGCTTTAAACTGATAACATCTAAAAAGCCATGAAAGAAAGCATTGCAGATGAAATAAAGAGAAAGTAGAAAACTGAGCAAAGAGCAGATAGTAATCATTCAAAAACATTCAGGACAGAACTTAAGCTTTAACCATGTGAATGAAAAGACAGCCTCTAATTCTGCTATTAAGTCCAATGTGTCCATCAGGCTGTAGTCACCTGAATTATGTTTAAGGATGACACAAATGCTTACACAGAAAGGAAGATATTCACTCACGAATGAAGGCAAAAATACATGTTCCAGGATAATGTTGCAGGATCCAATCGGGATCACCGGGACCAGAGAATTAGTTTTCTGAGCTTTTGGACTCAATGCTGGAGCCCATCCTCCAGGAATTTCTATCTCACCAGAATGCCAGAAGGGCACATTTTGGTGAGATAGAAGCTCCCTGAGGATGGGCTCCAGCATGAGACTGAAAGCTCAGAAGACTGGCCCTCTGGTCCTGGTGATCCAGATTCGATCCTGCAGAATATTTACTGTTAAAGAACACAAGATAAAAACTGATACTGCCTAACACTGCTTAGATGTAGTTTTATAAACTATGTTGATGAAGAACGAGAAGACTTGGGTTCAAGTCACCCTTAACTGTGGTTACTGAGTGATATTGGGTTGATGTGTGTTAACCTAGTCTCTCAGTTTTGATGCAGTGGGGGGAAACTGGAGGCAGGACTTGTTATACTGAGTTCTTTAAGGGAAAGTAGGATATAATGTATAGCAAAATAAAAATAAACTGAGTAAAGGCTTTTTGCTCCCTCTGCTTTCCAGTAGTTCTGATAATGCCAGCAAGAGGTTGGCATTTAAGGTAATTTGCAGCTGGAGGGCAAACAGTGTTTCCAAGAACAGCTGATTCATGAACCAAACTGCTCCTGGGACAATGAATTAGTCAAATAAAGCCAGAATGTCAAAAACAATCATATAGTCCTATAACATTGTACTAAATGTCCAGGTTTCTAGACCAGATTTTAGCATTCCTGGTCAACATAAGTAGAAACTTCCTCAGGTTTAAGCAAGACAATATGTATCTATATATATTGAAGGGAAGTCTACAAATCTAGCTTTTCCCTATGATGTGCAATGCTGTGAAATAAGAGGCACACAAATAGTTCAAAATTAATTGTGCTGGTAAAGCATGTTGGTCTTTAGTCCATCATATTCCAGCACAGGCTAGAATCCCCTCTACTTTACTTGTATAATTTACGCTGGCAGATGCCTCAGTAATAGGAGTATAGCAGCACTTATCTTTTATGACCATTTCAAGAGCAAAGGAAAGGAAGTAAAATCAACGGGAACAAGAGCAGGATATAAATATGTTAAGAAAATATACCAGGCATACTATTTACACATGTGGTCTGGGTTATTTATTATGTGCTGTAAAAATGTTATCCTGTCAGTTTCCTTCAAAGAAAAAAATTGCCTGCATGTTGTAGAATGCACTTTCCTGCTATGCCCAGACACGGTTTGCAATACAAGGGTTATCAGTGCTTAAAATATTACATGGTGCCAACATGCTCACCAACAACTTACTTGGTTCCCCTTCACCTGATTTGTGCATTTTAAAAAACATTCGCGGATGTGTTTGTACTTTATATTAGAATGGTATTCCTTAAGCTGATGTTTCTCACACTTGTTAACTTTTAAGATGTGATTTCAACTTCTAGAATTTCCCAGCCAGGCTGAGAGTTGAAGTCCATCCATTTTAAAGTTGCCATGTTTGAGAAACCCTGACTAAACAGCCTTCCAGATTTGTTAAGACTGTAATTTTCTGAGTTGGATGTTAGCTCGAGAATACCTAGATAGCATTTTCTTGGGGAAGGTGGGTCAAACACAACTTTCTTACATTATTATAAATTTAACCTTAACCCTAATAAAGCTGAAAGAGAGGTTGATATTCCAATATGTGAACACGAGAGAGCTAATAATAGGGGTATATACCCAAGTTTTGGAACAATTCTCTCACATAGGTATATTTGCTAGACTGATTCTATTTTTAAGTTCTTTTGTGTAATTCAGGCAATTTAAGCCTTCATATTTTAAAAGAGATACATTTAATGTTGTGATTGTTATGAGCTTTGATTTTTATTGTATTTCATATAGCTTTTATTTTTTTCTAAAATAGATTTTATTCAAATATTTTACATACGTAAGTACCTTTTTAAAAAAGATGTTGTAAATGTGAAAGAGAAAAAAAGAAAAGAAAGGTAAAAAGAGAAGATGTTGAATATGCTCTAATAAAGTAGTTCAAAATTGATACCTATAGGGCTCCTGAGAGGGGTGAGTGGCTGCAATAGGTCCCAATAGATCCCAAGAACAATATCAGAGCTCTCTGTCTCTCTCGCATTCTCCTTCACCATTTTATTTATCAAAGAATCCATGTTTATTCAAAATATTTACACTTTGTTGATTGAAGAAGTAGCTAAACACAATATATAATTAAAACTAATTTCCATAGAGTTGGTGTGCTTGCCACGTAGAGATGCTGAACTTCATTACAGTAACTGAGTCACTTTTAGTATGCATCTGTTAGCAGGAAAACACAGAGCTTAAAATAATAATAATAATATGGGATGTTTTTAGCAAATCCCCCAAAGGACAGTGTTGCTATGGGCTGAGCATCTGTTATTTTTGGGAAGGCAGAGGCACCGTATGTTGGTCTGAGGCTAATTTCTGCAGTTTTAAGCTCGATGCTAGCCGGCATCCTACTTGGGGCAGGTGACTGGATCTAATCTTGAACTCAGTGGTGGGATTCCAAATTTTTTACTACCGGTTCTGTGAGCGTGGCTTGGTGACCGTGGCAGGGGAAGGATACCGTAAAATCTCTATTCCCATCCCACTCCTGGGGGAAGGTTACTGCAAAATCCAATCCCTCCCCACCCCACTAACCTGCTTTCCAGCTCTGTTCTCCTGTGCAGGGCAACAAAAGAAGACCCAGCCAATCAGCTGGGACTCGGAAGGCAGAGAATAGATGGGGGCAGGGCCAGTCAGGTGGGTATTTGCCGGTTCTCTGAACTTCTCAAAATTTCCACTACCGGTTCTCCAGAACTGGTCAAAACCTGCTGAATACTATCCCTGCTTGAACTGCAACATGGTTCACAACCCAGTTACAATATCTATGACTGCAGTGAAAATAAAAACACCCTTGAGTCAAGTTTAATTCCTAATGACTTCACAAATCTAACCGTGTATTTTTCTTAGCAGCAATGGGTTTCTACCGCCAATGCTTTTTCCACAGATTTGGGATTGGTGGGGAAAGGGTGCCTCCTCTATTTTGCCTACAGATCAATTTTGCTTAGGATTCCCAGGTGGTCTCCTTTCTGAGTCCTAATAGACTTGACCCCCTTTAGTTCCTGAGCAGAGACTAAGTCTGTGGAGGAAAACAAAGTAAATTGATTCCCCCAGAGGGTTAATATTTGAACCTTCTTACTTCTTCAGAAAAGGTTAAACCTGTCAGTGTGGCATTCACTTTCCACCAACATCCTATTCTATTAAGATGAGAAGAGATGAATTATCTGTGACTTCTATAAATGCCACTGATAGAGCCTCAGAATTGTCCTCAGAGCAAACCTTTTTGTGTCTACATGTATCTAGTTACTTGTATAAGCCAGCCTTGCCCAATGTGAACCCTCCAGATGATTAGAATCAGAAGTCTCTGCCGATCTGGTCCATGGAATTCAGGAATTGTGGGAACTGTAGAGATAACCAGATCTAGGAAGACTCCATTGTAGCCTAAGCTTAGCAAGAACCAAGCATTAAATGCAAATTTAAGGAAATAGTAAAACATGATGCCCTAAACACAAATTCCCCACCTCTTCTTCACCAAAGTATTTTCCAGAATCTTTCCAGGGAAGGAAAGGTTTCAATTTCCCCCATCACAATTGCTTTGACAGTCCCTCCTACCCACCAACTGCTATTTGCAATTTTAAAAATATCCACCTTCAATACAGACACATTTAGTTTAACTTTTATTAAGAGGTAACAAATGATCAGCTGGGTTCAGTTCATACGAGGAAAGGACTCTCCCCCCTCTCTGACTTTATATGAAAAACAAGTACAAATATCCTT